TCCTCCAGCTTCCACGATGCAAACAAATACAGAGGTCCCTTAGCTTCCTGGGACTGAAGGAGTTTCTGTAACAATTTCTTTGGAGGTGTTTAACAAACTTATGGCTGAGGTGGAGCTCATGTCTGCTACCCCTCCTGGCAGTAGGGTGCTGAGCTATGAGGGCAATGACATTTTTTCCCCACAGGCCTTCATAAGACCTTCTGTACTTCTCTCTCTTGCGTTTCCAGAAGTATCAACTTGCTAATTTCTGACTTTTGTGTGAAGGGGCACGTGACCACGATAGTTCTTCTTTTCAGCATGCACAAGAACTCAGTAGAGGTTACTGAAACTTTACCTAGTAATGAAAGAAGTACTTAAAACTAAATTAAAGCATGAGAATACTGTGCACAACTTCCTGCCTCACCTTTTTCACTCTGCTAGCTGCACTCAGCTCTGAAACCAAACTGTGTTAAGCTTACCTAATATCATCCTATCACTTACATTTTGTCCATGGTGCAATTCCAGTTTTGGTGGTTAGTTTTTCCCTTTTCTGAACTTTGTTGATCCAAGCCTAGCTAGGCCTACCTGCGGAAACTTGTCAATCCATCTTTTCCTCTCTCTGTTGCTATGAGGGCCTATTTTACACATCCTCTCAGAATTGTCTTACTTTCTTTTCTCTCTCTCTGATAATCTTTCTGTTTCCAGTGCAGGTATCCAGAGGTCTGGAACGAATGACTAGATCCCTCTGCTTTGGGAACCTTGAAGACACCTACTTAGATTTCATGACTAAGCACCGTGCTTGATCTAGGAGAAATATATCCACCTTTATCAACAGTTGTAAGACCCCATAATAATTCGGAGTAATCTGTCACACAGACTACAGAAACACAGAAGCAATTTCTGCATGAATATTAATTTACTTGTAGGAAAATTCATATTTTTGCATGAACAAAAAACTTGAGAATATTTTAAGTATTTGAAATCAATGCTCTGCTACCAGAGCAAACCACACCAAATAATGCTTGGCACTATTTTCCTGCCCCAAGACATCATTCTCCTGTAACCACATGAATATTCTGGCTTTACATCACTTCATTATCCTGCAAAAAAAATACTTCTGTGTGTATTTGAGGCTGATCATTATGGTAGACATGATGTATTCCTTGGCATTTTATAGATGACAGTAGATTCCCAGAGTTTCTACACTGAAATGAGAGGTCAAAGACCTATGTGGTTTTAAAGGATGGCTTATTTAGAGAAGTTTTACAGAAAACATTCTGTATTTTCTTCATTGTTCTTTCCCCCAGACTGGAAGAAAAATAATCCTGACTGAAAATGATGTTTTCCTTTCTGCGAATTGAACACTTACAAAGATTAATTAGCGACTATCAAAACAGGTGAGCTGAAAATACCAAGATGTGATAGCAGACAAAAGCAACCACCAAGGAATTTATGACTCCTGATTTTGCTCAGAGTATTATTTACACACAGCTGATAATGGATTTTAGAGGAAAGAGCTTGCTAAGAAAGCAGTCTGAAACAGACTCATGCCAAAGACCATGACTTGGGAAATCAGAGTATTTCCTTCCCTACCCTGACACTCTCTGTGGGAGGCCTGCTGCATGTGACATGATCCCAATCAAGGTATAGCTAATAGTTCCAGGGAAGACAGTACAACAGAGGGGTGTAGCGCAAAAACAGATTATTGCTCCACTTCAGATATGTCAACAGTGGAAGGTAAATAGAGTTCATTGCTGTTCTTGTACTTGCCCAGAAAAATAACACCAAAGAAAGGGTGGAAAGAAAGTGTTTGATGAGGGAGAGGTAATTGCATACATTGTTATTCAGTTGTGTATGCACTGCAAAAACTCCACAGGGGCAATTATTGGGATGTATGCATAGAACAATGGGGCTGATTCACCCTTCCAGCTTTGCATCACAGAGTCGTAGTGAGGACAGTGGTGTCAGAATAAATTTGCTTACAATCATAGCAAAACTGGTTCCTTTCTAAGTCATTAAAAAAAAAAAACTTTCTCAAAATACATGCTTGCCAAGCACAGCAACGTTTTAGCTTATGGGAGATGTATTATTTGGTTATTCAGGTTTTAATTAACATGCTCTACAGTCCCAGTGTTCCATCGAAGCCACATCCAAAAACACTTACTAAGGAGTTGATCGTTTCGGTACACAATTCAAGACAAATACTTGCACAGACTTGAAGCCAAGGCAACATATTATCTATTTTCTCACTCCCTGAAACTGGCAGTACAAACTTTTGGAGGTTATGAGATTTTCTTGCACAGATATCAAGAAAAGTAGGTCAAAGAAAACGATCGATAATGATATGAGAGGTGAGAAGGTAACAAGAGCAAAAAGTAGAAATGCAAAGTGAATACAGAAAAAGAACAATGAAGGAAATAAAACCAGGCTGCAGAGAAGAGACAGCCCAGGGTAGAAAAGAGATGCAAAAAAGCAATTTTCAAGAACCCCAGAAATCTAATTCTGAAAGTTCACTGTCGGCCAAGACAAGATTGCTGACAATTTCCTGCATCTTTGAATCCTGCTGGTCATATTACATTAGTAGAGAAACTGAGAGAAAAGACATAATTTTTTGAAAATTAAAATGGCAGGAGATATTTAACATCTGCCAGAGTGAGAAGCCCAGAGAAAGAAAACAGGTCATTGAAGCAGCCCAAAAGAACATTGATAATAGCACATGTATAAAATTTCAACATGAGCAAACACAAAAAAGAAACTCCAAAATCCAGGAGGAAAAAGAAATATATTTAAGCCTCTTAAGCTGGATTAAAATAAAACATTCTTCCTCTTTTAACCTAGGCTTTTTTAGGCAAGGTTGAGGAAACAGAAATCACCACATATAATGAAAATACTGAAGCATACGCAGTTTTCATAAACATAGGAGTTTACTTACAAAGGTAGACAATCCTATTAAATTCTGAAAGGCACCTTCTGATAAAATACACAGACATTTCCAGCTTTATATATCTCACTTCTTTCAATCTCAGAGCTGATTTGTACAAGCTGGAAATTCCTATGCTGCAGCGGGAACCTGTATTTCTTCTTTTCGACGGGACCCTGCTTTGCTGCTGGTCACACCGGAAAGAACAAACTGTTCTGCAAGGCACCAGCACGATTAACAAGTGCCCAGGGAGTGCTGAACGCGGAAGCAGCGTTAACCCCGCTGCGCTCACACCTTCTGCTGCGCCAGCTTTGCACAACCGCAAACCAACTCCCAAACGCACGGCGCGGCCAAACACAGCCCCACAAAGAAGTTAAAGGAAAACTTGTGCACAGAGAAGGAGTTTCCTTTTCTGAGCTGCAGCTGCATGTTCCATGGAAGAATTTGGCAGCCAGTCATGAAAAACTGTGTTCTGAACCTACACAGATAGGTTACACAATGTCAGCTTTTGGGGCCTCAAATGACGATGGCAATTTCTCCTTGCAGCAGTCGGGAATTTCACACAGCTTAGTGAAAGAGTCTTAATCCTTTGACAGGACAATGCAAAGGTTAAAAGGCAAGCAAGGAAATGAGGGATTTATATCAGGCTTGTGCAAGAATCAAATGATAAATACATTTCCTCAGCTGTATTAAAATCATAGTCATGACTGTTAAGTATATGACAGTGGAAGAAAGGGACAAGAAAAAAAGGACAACAATTTTTGATGGAACAGAGGAATTAATAAAGTCTGATTTCCTATAAATTGCTGCCTCCTGTTCGTTCTTTCCCTGCAAGCACAGTAAACGTACATTTCTGCCAGGTCCAAAACACACATGGTGTGCCATATCCCCTCCTGCTAATACATTCAGCATGTGCTGGACAGAGGGATGAGAGCTGAGTCTTCCTCCCAAAGGGAACTGATGAGGCAACCTCGTCCTTCCTTACCCAGACATCTCTTTTCCTGAAGTTTGCAGAAATCGGTCATCTCTGAGGCTTTCCACCCCCGCTGCCAAATGTGACTGAGCTAGGTCATTAAAAATTAACAGAACTGCTGGGTGGAGAGAAACCAATGCAATCATTTTCTTTCCTTCAGCTGGACTAAGGAAGTAAAATTAATTACTGGTGTTATTTTTGGTGCAGAATGCTGAGAAGGAAAAGGTCAGAGAAGGGTACAAAACAATACTGAAAAATGACAAATTGACATCACCTGAATTAAATATTGTATTCAGCTTAAGCCTTCAGAAAAGGAATGAAATAAATAGGTCATACACAGAGATGAGCAATTAGTTTATAAAACAGTAGTTACAAATATATATATATGTATGAATTTATTTATTTATTTATGTAACTTGCTTAATATTATATATAATATATAATTAAGTTGCTTGCCATAACATGTAATATTTTTAATTAGATGTTAAATACGTTGTAAAAATATAAAAATCGAATTATAAAAATAGGGCGATTTAGGATTAAAATTCCCTAGAATTCCCTAGATGAGTACAAGCGGGCCAGGGGCAAGTCCGTGCCTACAGAGCAGGGCACGGCATAGCCCAGAAGAAACTGGGACACGTCTCCTTCGTAACCCAGCGGCGCTCGGGAAAACCGGATGTTCTCTGCACAACAAACGATGGCAGCAAGTGCACTCTAATACAATGAAGGGGGTAGCTTGGGGAACTTGGGAGCAAAGGGCACGGAGCAGGATGGCCTCAGGCATAGAGGGCGAGCCACGGGTGGTGACACAGCCCCATATTTCCTGAGGCTTCCCTGCCGCCGCTTTCCCTCCGGCTCCCGGCGGGATCGGCCCCTCTCCGGGCGGCACCGGCCCCTCTCCCGGTGGCACCGGCCGCTCTCCCGGCTCCCCGTGGCCCCGGGCTGCCGCAGGCCCGGGGCTGGCGCGGCCCGGGCGGTGCGGGCCCGGCGGGCTGAGGGGGGCCCGCAGAGCGCTGCAGGTGCCGGGCGGCGGCCGCGGCCAGGCGGGCGCTCGGCAGAAACGCGAGAGAGCGGCCTCAGGCATGTCAGATGCTCTTTAAAAGTTACGACTGTGCTCACAAGCTGAGGATCTGTTCTGCAGAGAAGCCGGGAGAACGTCGCAATAGTTTAATGCTTTTAATTTTTATCTAATTCTCAGTGATTAGCTTCGAGTAACCTGTTCTTGCTAATTAAAAATTAACCAAATTAAATTAATATGTCGGTTTGCGATCCCACGGTGCAGCCCTCAATATTGTTTTGTGTACAAGAACTAAATGGAAAGAAGGTAAACAATTCACCTCTTTTTTTATCCCCCCCCAGTTCTTCACTTCTGCCTGAAATGGCCAAGCAAAATTCCCCGTCGCTAGCTGAAGTTGTAAAGCAAGTTGCAGAGCAGCAGCAGTCACAGGTGGCAGACGTGGAAAAAAGCAAAACAGTTCTTTTCCAATTGCAGGTAATAAGCCTTATTTAGAGTAGTTTAATCAATTATTTTTCATTAGATGAAGAAGTATTTCCTTGAACAAAATAAGCTGATGGTGCTTCATCATTCAGGTGTAAGGCAGCAATTCTGTGTGTGGTGTTTAGGTTCAGCCAAAACCGGGGCTGTGTATTGTTGTTTGTAATGCCACAACACAGCTGAGTTCATTGCAGCAGGTGAAACGTTGGTTTGTTACTTGGAAAAAACAAAACAAAACAAAAATACAGAGCTGAAGCCACAAAGCAAACACACAACAACTAAATGCGAAGGTTTTTTTCTTTAGTATTTTTTTTTTCTTTGCTTTTAGATTTTCACCATAGCATATTTTAGCATATTTTTGGACACAAAATACCTTTCCCCCCCCCCTTATGTTTGAAATAGGCATCCTAAATAGTCATGACATACTGGTATTATTCAATACTATTTTGTAAAATACTGGATATGTGTAGTTTTTGTGAAGACTCTGTGATAATTTCTCTTTTATTAAGCTATCAATTATTATTTAACCTTCAAGATCAAATTTCTGTTGAGAAAGTTACTTTTGTGATTACCATTGACGTTTTTGAGCATGGAAGAATGCAAATGGAAATAGTAGAGTTCCGATTATAACATCTGTGCATAGCTCTACAACTGAAATAATTGATATTTGAAATTTTGCACGAAGATAACATTTCTGAAGTAGCAGTGAAATCTTGTATTTTTTAGGAATGTCACTAGACTGGCAACACTTTACAAAAAGCTTTGTCCTGTATCCTGTAATATAGTCTGATAATGCTGCAAAAACAATTTGTGATCATACAATTTAAAAACATGTATCCGTCTTAAAAAAGACTCACAGAACTTTGAAGCGCTGGGTAATGACAGGTCCTTTCCAGCCTTGATGGTTCTGTGATTTCCTATGATGGTTTGAAGCACTACTTCCTGGTTTTGTTCACTTTTGTCAGTGAGATTATGTAGAGGCCTTTTTAGGACTAGACACCTATTTCTTATGAGGTTGAAATTAGCTGTGATTAATTCAACTCCCAGCTACTGCTGTGATGAAATCAGGATTAAAAACCTCAGTTGAACAGTGAAGTTAAACTCCACCACCTGACACACCCCTCTATGTGTCTGTGTGGATTTACAGGGGATTTTTTGCATCTTTGGTTATTTTTAGTCTGATTAGGACTTCACCAACTCTAAGCAAACATTAGAATTGGGTTTGATCTGCCACATTCTATATATCTTGCAACTGTGAAGAACTTAAAAGTGAGTTCAAAGGTATTTTATTCAATATTTTAGACTCAATCTAAGGGGAGAAGACTAAGATAGTATTATTACATTGTGCCTCTAAGGTGATGATGATATTAAGAAATGTAAGCCTAATTATCTTCATTCAAACCAAATTAGACAAGTAAAAAAAAAAAAAAGAGTGTTGAATAAATATAAATTACAGCGCTTAACTAGACACTTCATATTTTCCTCCAAAAAAATTCTTAAATGAACACTGAAATATTTTACAGGCAAAGTGTCAGGAACTAGAAAAAGAAATGAATTCTGTTCTGTTAGAAACAAAGACAACAGAAAAGGAAATACATCTGCAAGATGATGCCATAGAAGTGACAAAATATCAGTGTGAAAATCTGGAGGCTCAAGTAAGAGCCCTGTATTCTGAAAATTTAAAATTGAGGTGTGATGCAGAAACAGTACAAGAGGAGTTTGAGATGATACTTGCAAGAAATAATGAATATCGGGAAAAAATAAAGGATCATAAACATCTCTTTTGGGAGATGGAAAGTAAATTGCCAGTTATGATTGAACTTGCTAAAAAGAAAGAGTTTGTGGAAGAATTGAAGGCAAAGAAAGAGGATTTATTATGTGATCTCCAGAATCCAGAAGGATCTGTTATAAAACAAGTGCAGGTACTATATTTCCTTTTTGATTCTTTCCTTTTATGTGAAATAATTTTGACACAGTTCATATCATATGATTATTTTGTCTAATATGTTCATGGTTCATGAGGGACTGACTACAAGGGAATATAGGTAATTCATAATGCTGCATTAATAGGAGAAATTTTTACTTCAGTATGCAGTGAAAAATATCAGGGTTGTTATCTGTGTAATATTGTTAAAAAAAGGTTTATGCTGTGATTAAATGAACTCAAATCTGAAAATATTACAGAGATGTAAATTAAGCTTTATCTTTGGATAAACTTAGATGGATGCTTTTCAGAATTCCATAGAAGATTACCATATTGTTACATTTTTCAGGTAAGAACACAATATTCATTAAACTTTGCTGTCAACAAAATAAATTTGAGCTGTTTGCCAACAGGAGGTAGATTTGATGAAATGGTGATAGAAATAAGAAGACAGGAAAAATATGTTTGGTATTCTAATCTAACAATGTTGGTTTTGGTTGACCCAATTGAAATTTTTACTGAAAGGAACTACATGGGAATTTTTTTACCATGGAATTTTGCCAGTATATGGACAAACACAAGCATGAAGTTGAAATAGGATTGCAAATGTCAGCTTTGATGTAACTTGCATTATTGAAAATGTTATGGTACTCTATTAATGTAAATTGACAAAAATTTGTACAACAGATCTTTCAATACTGATAAATAAAGGCTAATTAACATTGTATTTTCCTATGAGAAAGAAAAATATATCTCAAATATTACATTAAATATTCTTCCATTTTGCAGTTAATTGCATTTTAAATAAAGACCACCAAAATGAGCTCAACATCCTGTATTGTCATAGTTTGCATATTTCAAATCAAGAGTATATATTCTTATAGGTGTAAAACCATGTGATAAAATATTTAATAGTTAATTTTTAATTACCCATTCTAAATTATTATCGTTTTAATTAGTATTAATAGGTTTATTGTGAAATTGATTATTATAGACCTTTATCTCATCTCTATTTACTAAGACTATTAAAATGAGACAGTTTTAATAAGTATATTAGATTAACTGTGCAGCCTTTCAAGAAATGGATTTCTGTATCTTGACTTAAATCTGCAGGAAGACATCACACTTTTAAAATGTGAAATCACAACATTGAAAGATGTCATCAATAAAAAAAGAGATCTGCTGGAAGAAGAGAAAAAAAAGCATGCTAAGCTTAGAAAAGAAATTGAGGTGAGTCATTGGAATAAAATTTAATTGCAGTTCTCCTGATGGAATGCAGATAATGCAAGTGAAGTTTGAAGTACTTTATACACCATTTCTGGCTATGCATTGTTCAAGTATATGCAGCAATGTTCTTGTCTTAAATTCTGGATACTGATAGTCTTTCTAAAATTCAGAGCTTAATTGTGAAGAACATTTTTTTCTGAAGTCTTTTGAGAAGGAGTTAATCTGTTAACTTTTGGAATGATTCCTGGAAAAAGAAGAGCTCACTGCATGGTACTAAAGCAAATGCACATTTTAAAATTTCTGTAATACTTCTGAAATACTTTACATTTCACTGTTGACTTGATTATTAATGACTTGATAGGTCATCATTGGAAGAATCAAATGCAAAGGAAAATGGACTTCCCATGACTCTCCCTAATTTGAACTGACATTAAATTAGGAATAACACAGCAGCTCCTAATTAGCTGACATGATAAAATTCTGATCAATAGTTAAAACCTTCTCTTTTAAATAATTGAGCTATATTTTTCATTTTGTTCCTTACTAAAATACCCTGTATGATTAGATAATTTTTAATTTGGAAGTTTTGTACCATTTATCTTGTCAGTTCAAATAAATGCCACAAAATTTAATGAATAAAGTTTAATAATATAAAGATTAACTGATTTAAAGTTAGGTCTATTGCCCATTGTAAAATGTAGAAGGGAGAAAGAATCATTTTTTCATGTGACAGAGAACAGAAAGAATATTGAACCTGAAGAGCAAAACATAGCTGCTTTAGAATAGGTCTGCTAGTCAGCATTAGAGAAAATATTTTATTACAAAGGCAGCATCTTCCTAAGAAAATGCTCTAAACCCAAAGTTAAATTAGGTAGTCTAAAAAAGGTTCTGTTCTATTATTGAAATCAATGTAATTAAATAGTGAAGGTTAGCCTTCACTTTTGTTCTTCAGCTGTTTGGATTATATGTTCTTTTTGTCTCAGAAGGAAGCAGGTTCAAACCCAAAGCCTTTCAGGATATTATTTTCTATTAAGAACTCTCCTGAAAACAGTTCTGTTTTTAATATAAGAATTGACAGTGGATAGACAGAGACATTTATACCCAGCAGTCCTCAGCATAGCTTGGGACAGAATACTCAAGCACAAGAATAAAGTGAGACACTAGGCACATGGATGAGTTTTATTGAGCTGCAGTGGTAGAATTCAGCTACAGACTGCAGGCACCTGATGTACTCCAAGATATCCACAAATAATAGAAAATTTGTTGTTATGTAAAAGTAATTTAAAAAACTGCTGCCCAAAAGACTGTCTATTCCTCTGCTGCCCTCTTTCCCCAATGTCAGTGTGTGACTGTTTTACTCTTGGCAGATGCTTGCCTATCCTGTCCTTAATCCTGGTGGTGGAGGTACCCCAAATGCCCAGACAATTTTTTCTAGTGTTTGACTTCATGTACGTAAGATCCAATAAAAAGCATGATGTTGTCCTTCCCTGTCTCCAGTAAACATATTAGTGCTCCCTCCCTTAGCAGATGTGCCAGACTGTTCCCAATAATGATGCTAGAGACACATTTCTAAAAAAAGCAGATAATATTGATCATAGATGTTTCAGTGTCATACAACGTAGTCCTAGTGATGCAGATGCCCCAAGCACTTGCTTAGATGAGTGAATCTGACAGCATCCCTCAAAAAGTTGCAAACAATTACAGTAGAGAGTGAGGTAACATGAAGGAAGACAAGCCATCGCAAATAAAAGGCAGTAATTTATAGAACACCAGTGAGGCAGTTTGCTAGTTACTTGTGAAATTTAGGCAGTGAGATTTGCAGGAAGTCACTGACAGTGCTGTGGTTCTGATGTAGCTGTACATCATCGTGTACATGTGAAATACAGTGTATTAATGCTTCAATAAGCAGACACAAGAGTAATTTTACACTACCACTCATACTATTTAAACTGGGGTAAGCAAGCCCAAATTTCGTTAAGGACATGCCCGTTATTTCCTTTTTTATTGTAGTGAATGTTTCATTCTTTTAACAATTCAGAATTCAAATTTTCAGAGGATTTTCTGCAGCAGCCGTTCTCCACATAAGGCAGTAATGAGGGCAGAATTGACAGTCCTGCATTGCTGCAGTATTGCCTAAGAAAAATGTGCCATTTTAAATGCAGCAGAGCTACGAAGGTGCTACTAGAGCCATCGAGGTTACCTCATTTGTAATCCCATTTATACCCAAACAAGTTTATAGTCTTCTTTCTCACCTCTCATTCTAGAGCCTCAAATCTTCCACGTGCAAAGCCTTCCCAGAGCTGTGACTTGCTGAGTCCTTGGGTGGTATTTACTTTGCTAAATTTTAGACATCTACAGAGCAGATATCTACACCGAACTCCGCATTTAAGGTTTTAGTAGGACAGAACTTTTCTTTCCTTAGTGGGAGAGTGAGGCATGATTCATGTCCTAAACCGGACTCTGAAATAAGTCAGATGAATGGCTTCCTAGATGTCTCTGTCTCTTCAGTAGCTAAAAATAAATGTGGAATGACTTGGTCAAATGTCAGAATAAACACTTGGACAGAACTAGGTGAGCTGAACTCACCTCTGTAAATAGTTCTACTTGAACAAAATTTTGAAGTGATTTTTTTTTTTTTTTTTAGGTACAGAATAAGAGATATGATGCTATTTTAAAACGTTTGCATTGCCAACTGAACAAAGTCCATTCCAATAAAAGACAATGGCACTGGAACATTCAGCAGTTGGAGAGGAAGGCCGCAGAACTAAGAAAGTGTCTTGGAGTAGCAGAGTTACAAAACATCATGTAACAAACTTAACAAAGCTAGAATGTGAATTATCTTTTCCAGACAGGGGAGTTTTTTTCTGGGAAAGCTACAAATCTTAAATAGCCTGATTACTGGGTCAGACCTCAGTGATTTATTTCTTTTTAAAGTTTTTCTCTCTTTCATTTTGTGGTCTTAACTAATAGCCACAATAATAGGTTAGCTGTTCAGGAATAACTTAGCTGTTCAGGAAGAAAGTTACTGACACTGCCAGGTGTTTTCAAAATATATGTCAATTTTATCTAAAAAGTTATTTGAAAGTCAAACAAATGAGATTTGGGAAGTTCCTTTAAATGTCATTTGGTCTTTGAAGGTTGGGATATATGCTGCTTTTCATACAGAAAAATTAATATTGGTATATATTTGCACTCCTGAGAGGCCAAAGTTATTTTATCTTTTATCCACATCCCTTTTTATTGCAACTTGCTAAGGAACTATGAAAGCTTTGATGGCCTGTATTTTGCTCTGTGGGAAGCTCATACAGAAGATATTACAGTCTGCCAGGATTTTCTGGCATGGGGGACAAAGGGGCCAAACGCTGTCCAGCTGTGGACAGCTTCTGTGGACAGAAAAAAGATTTTGGAACAAGTACACTCAGAACTAGACTTCAAATAATCTGACTTCAACTGGTCTAATAGATGTTAGCAAAGACGAGTGAATAGGTACCACATCTGGACAGCTTTTAAAATGGAACAACTCACCTTCAAGAAATAGGAATGCATTACAGATGACTGATGATAGAAGAATTTATTATCTGGAGGATTTTAACTAATACTGGCCATCTAACATCTAAGTGCTTGATGATCTAAGATGACTCAACGTAAATGAGAAGGTATTAAAAATTCTTGTTAAAATGCTAATGAAGAGTAGCTATTTTTCTTTACATTCTTTTTATTTTTATATTGCTTGACATTTGAAGAATTTACAGAACTTTCCCTGCTTTTATAATTAAGGCAGTAGTTCTGCTTGGACATAACTTGTAATGTTTATCTGTTCTGTGAAAGTAGCTTTTTATTTAAGGTGTTATCTTGAATAATTTACTCATGAATATAAAATGAAGACTTGACTGTTTACTGTGAAAAATGTTAAATTGCTTATATATTATCTTATGAAAGCAAAGCTTAAAATGTAGTACTATTATTACCTTCATATATTAATGTATATTTACATTTCCTTTAATATGTTATTTCACTTAATATAAAGTTATTTTAAGCAATATCCTGATTCATGAAGGCTCTCAACATTGTTAGTCTCTTAAGGCTTTTTTACTCAGTCTTTTTCCCCTTGCAATAATATGAACCAGACTGCTTTCATTAAAGCAATAAAGTAGAAATAAAAACTTCAATATCCTACGCTGTAGTAACATTATGTCCTGAATATTGAGTCTGATCGAGTTTGTAGCACAAAACTGTAACATTAGAATTGTTACAATCCCTACACAGAACAAAATAGCATCCATTTTATGCATGTGTCTTCTAGAAAGGGTTCAGATCTGAAAAGTTAGAGAATTTACTGTTATTGTTAGCTTCAGCAATTAAATGCTCTTATTTTATTTTGCATGATTCCTAGTTTCAGTTTATTCATCCATCAAGTGAAATGGGTGTACTTTATATCAAGTATAATGATATAAGTAAAAATACTGATGCACTGTCTTCTTGATAGGTGCAGTAGTTCAAGCCTTCTAAAGCTACTGACTGTCAGATCTGACCAATAACTTTAGCTTAATGTATCCCCCCCAAAGTGCTACAACATCCAACATTTTCAGGGTTTTAAGACAATGTACCCTTAAGTATGCCTTTTACCACTGATACTACCTTGTTTTTATTTTTAGTTTGTCATTATTTCTGCTCCAGAACAATTGATGCATCAAAGCATGTTTTGTATGTTACTTCAACTAAGTTCACTTTGGCATCTTTTACCATGGTCTAATATTACACTTTAGCCTTGCATTTATTACCAACTAAAAACAACTCTAGCAAACAATCCAAACGTTCTAATGTAACAACAACATCACACCTTTGTTTTTCTTTCTGACCAATGAAGATGTTCATTATTACTTCCCTGGGAATTAGGGCGGTTTCTGCATATCAATACATGTACAGAATGACTCACTCATCTCAAATAAATACCTTGGACTTATATCTCCCTTGTTCCTTTTCATAAATCTCAGCAGTTTCCAGTATCTCAAATTACTTCTGTGGTTCTTTGTACATGTTTTGAAATTGTTTAATATAATTTAACAAGGGTGCATACAAGGGCTGTATACTCCCTTTACTGCTACAAGTGGAGGAAGTGTTCCCTTCTATACAAACACCTTCCTTATCATCCAAGGTCTAAGTTGTCTTATACTCCTTGCTCTTTGCAAGAGAGCCCATGTTTTTGCCTCCTGGGACCCTTGACCCCTTCATGGGATCAGCTACCAAAGGTGTATTCCTCCATTTTCTTCAGTGTAAAACTTGCTTTTTCAGCACACATTCTTGAACTGTAACTACATTTTGTGGCAATAAGGCTGAGAAGCTGAGGTGTGCTTTAATTTCCAAAGCTCCCTCCATTCAGATGGGGACACAGCTAAACCATGCAACAGCTCCTTTCTGACCTGCACAGATGAGCTTCTTGGTAAAACTAGGATGTGAATTGGATGGAATCACAAATGGCCGAGGATCTTTTTGATACAGAGTTCAGATATTACCAGGTATATCCCCAGTAGTTACCAGAGTATTTGAGACACAACTTAGTCCATTTAAATATGTATATTGAATAAACAAGTTTTATTACATGCATATACTGATTGTTGTTGTCATCCCACATCACTGTCCTAGTTAAATGGCACAATTATAATCTCTTATCCCACATAAGCACATCGTTTGTTTGTTTAACTCAACTGCCTTAAAACATGACTTGATTATCTTTTTAATATTGGAAGCTTTGTCCTCAGTTTCCACCAGACTTCTACTTTAGCCATTGACTATACCTGAAATCTGTATTCAGTGCTAAACACCACATTTTAGAGGATCAAACATAGTTTACCCACTTCCATTAAACAGAACTTTGTATAGCAAAGTACTTACATACTTTCCCAGGTGCAGCATCTCAAATTTAACATTCAGTGTTCAACAGAAAATAAATATAAGGAAGGTATAAACATTTTACTAGGGAATTACAGTTAATTGGAAGAAAACCTGGAGAAAAAAAGTCAGCAGAAACAAGGAAATACAAATTACTGCCTTCTCTAAACTATCTGCATTCTGTACAACAAACAAAAAAAGAGAAATTATGTAGCTTTTTATAACAATATCTAGTTTCAACAAATCTTGGCAACCTGCTGAAGCATATTTTTCTTGGTACAATATTGAACAGTAGCAGTTTGATTCCAGGGCATTTTTCCCCCTCTTTGCAAGCAAGCACAGACAATAGGAGAATGGTTTATTATTTTTGGGAAATAACTTAATGAATGAACTTTATAGTCTTATTACACAAAGCTCTCTAAGCTCTGTTGGGGAACGTTGCTGCCAAACCCACATCAGTCATTTCTGAGGATGGATGTGGGGCTAAGGAAAGAATTTCTGGCTTCAGTCCTCTGCAGAGAATGGCAAGAGGGGTGACTGCCCACTCTGAACAACAAAACAGCAACGAGCAGTGGGTATGTAAATAACTAAGTGTGGGAAAACTTAACAACCAACGAGTCCTACCCACCAACTAGGAAAACTTTAAAGCACAGGAAACTGGATTTATTCCCACAATATAGAGGGGAACAGGGGGGAATTCCACACTTGACAGGGAAAATATACAGCTGTTGAATCACTCATGACATGCAGCAAATGTACAGTTGTATGATAAAGGGAGGTATTTCCCCATGCTGTAAGCTGATGCTCCACAGGAAACTCTTTCATGTGACTCAACAACCTCAGGTGCTGGAAGCAGAGGAAATGTGTCAGATAATGCAACATAGCTGCTAAAATCACTGCTCTCATTAAGGCTACATCAGATAAAAACCAGAACAACAGAGGAGGGAAGGAGGTAGGTGTCAGTGCTTTGCTGCCTTGCCTCTCTAACAGTTTGCCTTGTCTCTCAGGAGTCACTTGCAGAATTGTGTGCACAAGTGTGACAACAAGTAGTGCACGATATTCTACCATAGTTCTTACACGGTGCTTCAGAGGAAGAGGAATCATGACCATGTCATGCATTGATGGTACATCATGCTGCTGAGAATGAGAAAAAAAAACAAATTTCAGAACTCTTAGCTGATTTTCTGAAATGCATTAATATATTGTTACCAAAGTAATTATTAGATAATATTATATCATTAGATTAATAGTTAGAGGAAACAACATGTAATGACCTAAAAAAATCAAGAAAAATTTAACCATTAACTGCGAAGGGCAAACCAAGATAAACAAAAATATCCCTACCCCTGAAAACAAAGATAAATGTACTGCACATGGCCTATGTGGATGAAAGGGGGCCATCCAGAAGGACCTGGACAAGCTGAAGCAGTGGGCTCATGAAGTTCAAGAAGACCAGGTGCAAGGTGCTGGTGTCAAACCCTGGTGTCAACGCAGGTTGGGGGATGAGCAGCAGCCCTGCTGAGAAAGACTTGGGAATGCTGCTGGATGAGAGACTGACTATGACCCAGCAATTGTGCACTCACAGCCCAGAATGCCAAACATGTCCTGGGTTGCATCAAAAGCAGCATTGGCAGCAGGGTGAGGGAGGGTATTCTGCTCCTCTCTGGTGAGCAATCCCTGGATTGCTGTGTCCTGCTCTGGGGCCTCCAGCATAAGAAGGACATGGACTTGGCTGCAGCAGGTGCAAAGGAGGACATAAAGATGATCAGAGAGCTGCAGCACCTCTTTTGAGGATGAAAGAGTTGGGCTTGCTCAGCCCAGAGACGAGAAGACTCTGGGGAAACCTTACAGCACCTTCCAGATACCTAGAGGGAGCTACAGGAGAGCTGGAGAATTTTTACAAGGGCATATCGGACAAAGGCGTAATGGCTTAAACTGAAAGAGCTTTAATTTGGACTAGATGTAAGGAA